CTTGTACATGTATAACACTTGGCTGATTGCCAAGAAATGCTTTTTGTTTTGTTACTGCTTGGTCCTAAAAGGTAAATTATAAGTTATTTGTGCCACTAATTTATAATATAATAGTGTACATGTAAATTTGATGTATTGTATGGTGTCTATTATATATTTTATTTTATTTCTACTATATTTCTAAAAATGTTTTATTATTAATACATTATCTTGTGGGTTTTCGTAATTATCAAATCTTTTAAGAAACTGTCAGAAAATAAAATGAAGTAAAACAAAAACAAGACATCTCGGATTTTGTTTTATCTTTTTGTAAATAACAAGATATGATGATTTGGATTTAAATAATGTTCGCAAATGTGAAAAATAGGTGATTGCGCGGGTCATTGATGTGGATCTTTCTAAGATTACGTTTAGTAGTACTACTGTTTCAACCGTGAGAGAAAATGGTCTCCAAAACCTCGGAACTGTGAGAGCATACACAAATAATGTCATACTTTCTCAAAAGATAATGATTTCATACAACAACGAAGACTTGACTATAAAAAATTGTCGGTTGTTCACAAAACTCAAATGCAAATAAAAAATGCCACGGTGCGATATATTGACTGAATGTTAAATATTGTGTCAACACTACCTGTCCAAGAAGAGTGAGAACGAAGCGATGACTTTGAAAAAGCTGCCTGAGATGTATTTCCAGGCAATGAAATTAATCGACGACGTGATACTTGCCTCCCTCCGGAGGACATTTTGCGAACTCGGCCTATTGTAGCACTTAGGTTAATCGTAAATAAGTTTCCAAAGTGAGAGGCCCGCTAACTGGGTAAAAATATACACACACGATTACCCCATTCTATTTCCCAGAATTCCTTGCGGTAAGATCACCAAAAGTATAGAACTCTGCCTGAGAGATTGGGTTGACCCCTTCCACACATTCGTAAAGTTCAGTTAGAGCGATATTCAAGTCGACCGAGTATTTATTTATCACTTTTCATAGTAACTATAAAACAATGTGATCTGTTCTAAAATTCGCACTCATGTACATTGCATATTTATAAGTTTTCGATCAATATCGGTAATCCGTTAGTGTTTAGATACTTGGCAAATTCTTATTTTACATATTACCAATAAATAAACATATATTTTTTGACAAAATTCAAGTTGCTCGACACTGAAGACTAAATCGGATTATGATTTATCATGAAGTCAAATGTCGCATTTGCAGAACACATAGTAGTTTCCGTTAGATGATTAAATCAAAACCACTAATACGCATGTGCAGTGATTGTTATTGTACGTACTACAACAACCAGTGCGCATGCGTATAACTAAATTTCATTGTTTCATCAAACGAATACTGTGCTACAAGAACATTTTTTTCACGTCATGGTAAATCATAGTCCAATGTATTCATCAGAATCTTCTCGTCCACTATAAATGATAATACATTTTTATTTTGTTGTTGGTGAAACCACAGGGCGCCCAGGAACTATGATCAACGGGGGGGGGGGGTATCGGCTGGTATCTAGTGTAAGAAATAGACAAGGGATGAAGGCTCCAGCCAGCTCACATGTTTTAAACTCGAAAAAACAGACGAAAAAAATAAAAAATAAAATCTAAAAAATACCAGGTTAAAGAATATTAGTTGCTCCTTCGAATTTCGCCAAAGCCTTACCTACATTTTACCGATATCTGCAGAATAAATCAAGAAAACTACACAAATTGACTCCATTTAGGAATTCCTAACGGTTAGTCCGAACGCACGACACAGTTGGAGGCGTGGCCTGTTCAGCATTTGTCAACAACCAATCACAAGACTGGTTACGAACCAGTTGAGCAAGGCTAACCGAGTCGTGACCTCGATGTGGTACTCCAAAATGTAAAGATTTAATTTCCATAACATTTCAAACACTGATGGAAACTCTCAAACCAGTTTCTTCTACTTTGTATTTCGGTGTTAAACTTGGATTTTGATTTCGATTGTTTTGTATACTTGATCAAATGGATTTAGTGAATTTACTTCGCCATCGTCGACCGATTCAGACGCAAATTAGTCCGTCGGCGAGGGCGAATGACTATGGTATATGCCGTGGTAATGACCATTCCGTTTGGCTATCACCCCGGAAATCACTAGTGGTATCTTATTAACGGGTATGCGAGGTACTCAATTTTTAACGATTGTATTTGTATTGAAGGGTGGGTTTTTCTTGTGCTATGATTTGTCAAGAGGTGGTTTTTTTGAAAATTTGTTTCAAGGGGTAGGTTTTCTCCAGGTGTCATTTGTCAAACCTATATACTAGCAGTTATAGTTGTCGTGTTAAGCAATTTGATCGTTATTATTGAAAACACTGATTATTGTATTATCGAAGTTTCTTAAATACTGTACTTTATATATTTGATTACATGTACCATTTTTGCTTTAAACCACGTCTATAAATATACATGTTGGTGACACAAGTGCGAACGTGATAGAAAACACCACTTTATTACGCATTTCTATAATGGTAACTTTCGACCAATGAGGGACATTCCCGCCTAGTGTTCAGAATCCCACCGAGCCTATAAATAGGACGCGCAAGTGTTTTAGCGCAGTCTTTACCGCGTTGTTGTGTTCAACAGTTGTTTACATATTTCTTTATGGTAAATTCTCCGGTATATCAGTGGATATACTGTATTGATGTAATAAACTACTCTTACGCGTTTATTACTTACGTATTCGTTTCCTGTGATTGATTTGTTTGCATAGCCTGGCATTTCTTACTTATTTTGAATATAGCCCAGTCACGAATCATAACCCCACAATAGTAGAAACTAGTTATAATTTCGGAGCGGGTGCACTGGATTGTGGACTAACTTGAAGATTGATTCGAGTATATTGTCATCGGTATGTCTACTAATATTGATAACCACAATTTTCCTCCACAGTCTGTCAAGGAAAGATTGATATTCAATTTTGAGTCGATATCCAAGACGATTATGAATTGGCTTATCCTATTTGTGAAAATAATATGTCCCAGTCTTTCCTATATCACAAGCTGGTACAACGGGAGACGGAACAGCGTGTACGCTGAGTCTTGGGACACGTGCAATACATCCGTTTCAATACTGTCTTTATGTTTTTGATTATTTACCGCGGCCATGTCCTATTTTATGAAAGCTCATTGGGGACATTTTGTAAACGAAAAAAAATAATTATC